CAACATAGTGGACAATGTACTTCATCTCTTTAGCCACATGACATATCCACTCACCCACTAACCAGTCCTCAGGACCTTTAACATTTGAACTAGCCCAGTCTAATCCAACAATGTCTATTACGAGGTCGCGAGAAAGAGTGTATCCTCCGCCTTATTTCGAATGTAAGGAATGTAGATCAAATAAAGTGCATGAAGCGTTGATAATAAATAAATAAACAACATACCTGCCATATATTTATCGAAGACGGTATCGCCATAGTACACGCGTTCTCTAGGTATGTCTTGAAGATCACGATAAAAATGAATAAGGTGGAAGAAAGCGTCATCGTCTAATTTAGCCATATAGTTATCCTTCCTCTAAGCGTATTCAAAATAATGAATGCTTGTTGACGTACGTAGCCTCATTAACAAGACAAGACAAGACAAGAGTACTCACATTTTTAGCAAACCATTTGAAATATTCAAATGTCTTTCCTTTGTCCATGTTCTCTGTGATATTCAAAATAACAATATCTCCGTATATTTTAGACTCTTCTTCCAGCTTATCTTTATATTCGTCCCTTGGCAGTCCAGAGATGAACCTAATAGATATAGGCGATTTCTTGACTCCAAGATACCGCGCCAGAACGTCGTTTTGATGTGTATACAACTTGCGCAATAAGTCCCTAATCTCTATCTTTTCATCCACGGTCATAATCCCGATGAAAATCGTTAAATTCTGATCCACACCCGGAGGGCCCAGAGGAGGTTTGGTATAGGTATCATATTTTATATGCGATAGTGGGACTGGCAATTCTAAGGAGAGAAAATTAGTTGAAAGGTAGTAAAATACGTAAAGACTGAGAATAAAGATGAAGAAATAGATGTAATATTTATGGACTGTGTATTTGGACATTTTAAAATCTGAAGTCCCGAAAATAAAATATGTTCAATATTTATAATGAATGATGTACTAATTGCAGTAGTGTTGGAGGTAGATTACTTATTTTGGTTTGATTTATACTTAATTTGAGTTCACAAATTATGCCAAACTCTTTTTTAATTACGGCATTTCAACTTAATTTGGGTTTGAGAATCGGTATTTCTGGTTCATAACCAAAACCAAATATGTATCCCATTTTGGTAAATAGTGTCAAACTCAAACTGTCAATTCATTAAATAAATATTCGGCATTTAAAGAATATTCTTTAAATTATTCAACAAATCTGTCTTTTAATCATGTATATCCATGTTTAAATATTGATAATCTAAAGATTGAATCCAATGGGTGGATCAATTATCGATTAATTAAATATAGGGTATAAGTTGGAGAAGTCTGAA